CATCTGGTAGGGAATTTGTAACTTTTGATTACTTTATTAGTAAAATTCTTTCAAGGGTTATTCCAATCATGGGAAACTCGCAAATAAGCTTAATGGCCCATTATCTCCTTTAATGACAGAAGATACATTATTTTGAGCAGATTAGTTAGGACTACTTTATTCCTACCTTTTCAAGCATTGGACATGAGACAGGTTAATTTACGAAGCTTATGCAAAAGAGGAAATGACGTATATTTAATTAAAACGTCTTGTAACCAAATTTATTGTGAAAGATATTTGTACCTATAAGTAAGAGCGAGCAGGGGGGAGAGAGAGAGAGGGGGGGGGGGGGGGGGGGGGGAGAGAAGAGAACTTTGTGTATAACGCATGTAAACGCAACGAATTTCTTCTTAGACCGATACATTTGAACCCTGTTTTCACGAAGTGACGGTAATGAGGAAAATCGCATATAATTTCACTTTTGATTTTTTTGCATTGTTGGACATCATTCACTAACATCTTGAACCTCACTTTCAGACCGTAATAACATCTAATTATGTCACTATGGTGATGACGTAAACAAGAAAATACCTAGCAAAAGGATTTCATGTTTTCACGAAGTGACGGCCAAGTACGCGCTTAACAGCCGTCAATTCGTGAAAACATCGTTTGCTCTTTTCCTGCTTTTAATATTTTCACGAAGTGACGGGCGTGAAAATTTCGCAGTTTGGAACAGTCACAGGCCATGAAAAGGTGAGTTTTTAAATATTTTTGTTAGGTAAATTAATATGGTAGACTACACTCTTTTTATTCATTCTGATTCTTTGTAAGCCATAAATAAATCCATGAGCACGGAAATGTGTGAAAATACACCGCCGTTCCACATATCGCCCCATATACCTTTTTTCATGTAAGTGAATAAATGAGTGAAGTATCATGTGATCCAAAAGTAAAAAGATCAACTTATGTCTTAACAAATATACATCTAGACTAAATAACTTGAGTGGAGAGTCTTTCTTATTTAGCTCCATACCAAATATTAATGCTATAAGGTTCTTTTTATATGTGCTTAGGTTATAAATTTGAACAAAGTTTTACAGAAAGTTAGAAAGTAGATCGAGTTTTACTTTTATTTTTGCATTAATTTACTATTTAGCTAATTATAAATTTAATTTAGAGTCTAGAACTCTAGTTACTCTACATCATCATTTTATAATTATCATTTTATGTCAGCCACTACTCATCAATCTAGAATCTAGAGGTGAGTAGATCAGGATCTAGACCAACTGAGACCTTTCTTGTAAGGCGCGCGTGCCTGGGTTTAAGAAACTTCAGGGCTCCAAGCCCAAGGTCCAACATCAACATGGCCAAGGGCAAAGGGAGTTATGAAAATTATCATCATGCTGAGCTGGGATGTAGGCCCTCCTGGTTACATGTTAGGGAATTCAATGATTTGCCTTTCAAGGAAAGAAGGACATGAGTAAACATTTAATTAAAATGAAAAATGAATAAATGGTACCATCCGAAAAAAGGAATACTTTTTTGTTGAGCCTGAAGTAATCATGAGTATTCTATCTTGTGGGGAACAATGTCCACATGTTTAGCTTAGTTTCTCTCATTATCAGTACTCTGTGTCTGTTATATTCAAAGGCAGCACTGTACCCTTGGTCCCTCACCCTATACAAAAATTATTTTAAACAATTTTTCTTGATACCAGCAAATGTTGCCCAATTCCACTTCGTATTTGAAAAAATTTCCAAGCAAGCACCATACCAGATCATGTACATGTCTCACTACCTACACTTCAGTGGTAATGAAATTGTGATGATGTTTTTGCTTTCACTTAGTTTCAGATGCAGTATATACAATTTGCACTTATATGAAGGAAGCACTGGGAAAGTACATCTACTTTTCAAGAATGCCACAGGCCAGAAACAAATCCAGGTGAGAATAGTTTCATGATCTGTTAAACAAAATCACACTTTAGCAGCAAAGTACCAAGCACACTCACTTCGTATGTGCATTGGGGTGGTTGTTGTTTGGTAGGGGCAATTGGAAAATTCTATTTTGGGGGTAATAGGGGCAATTGAAAACTTCTGTTTGGGGTCAGTTATGCCTAGTAATTAATTTGATGTGCACAAGATAATATTGGATTCATTTCCTTACCTCTGCTTGCAAAAAAATGAAAGAAATAACTTGTAATTATTTCTTTCATTCTACAAAATTAGATGTGTGAAGAAACTTGAAAAACTTGTCTTGAAGGGCATGCGTGAGAAACTAGACTCAATTACATTGATCGTTTTGACAATGCTTCAGTGTTTCAATACCTCAATCTTTCTTTTATACTGTTTGATTTTAAACATTTTGAATATCATAAATAAAGCAAACTCCACTCATAATTTTAATTGTGTGTACTAGTAATCGCAATGAAATGGATTGATCATAAAATCAATGAATTGATTTAAAGCAAACTGGTAACATTTTCCATTAGTTCTGAAACAATGAACTGAATGGTCGTACATGTGTCAGTTTTCTGTTACAGTATTGTAATGAACTCCTGCAAACATAAATCTTTTAATTTCAAATGTATAACTCAGAAGAGCTATTTATCAGGTATACCTACCTCAATCAGTAATGCATATTAGAGTTTTCGATTCCAGTTCCATGAATCCTGATATCGTATCTTTGTATTGAAGAATTTGTTTATCTATTTTCTTTAAATGTTTGTATTCACAGGGGTTGATGCCTTAATTAGAACATGAATATAAGTTACATTTCCACATTGGTTTTTCTCTCAAAACACAATGTTACTAGTTCACATTTAATGTTTTAATTTGTTACTTCTATAGTCATTCTCATCATAATTGTATTTGGTACTTCAAACTATCCTATAATCATACAATACAGTGCGTCCCAGAAAAAACGTAACCGAGAAGTATCGATGTTTTATCATAATTTAATCACAACCATAATTAATGAATGATACATATTTGGAAAGCTCAGAGTCTCCCCTTTCAGTTTATGCTACTCACGTGATGCATATTTTACGCATGGGTGATTAACCGCAATTTGAAGAGAGGAAACCAAAAGTCATTTGGCGGGCAGTATCTGAATTTCAAGGAGAAAATCACATTTTTAGAAAGTTCAATTTCTGCCTTTTCATATGACACCTCAGTCAGGAAAAATGAGCCAGGAATAACAAAGTTCTGTTTTTTTAAAGGAATGCTTGCATTTCCATAATTTGATCGAACGGGTTCGTTTATACCGGCTTCTTGCCGTTGCAACGAACGGAATTGACAAAAACTTAACTCCATTTCGTTGACGATCAGCCATGCACAAAGAAGACGAAAGACCTGATGCCTGGCTGATCTTCAACGAAATGGAGTTAAGTCTTTTGTCAATTATGTTTGTTGCTACGGCAGGTAGCCACTGAAAACGAACTCGTTTGATCAAATTATGGAAATGCAAGCATTACTTTAAACAAACAGAACTTTGTTATTCCTTGCTCAATTTTCCTGATCGAGGTATCATATAAAAGGGCAGGAATTGAAATTTCTAGAAATGTGATTTTCTCCTTGTCTTTTTTCTTCTGTGTCTTCTCGGTCTATAAAGAACACAATACTTTCTCTATTTTTGCCTTGAAAGGTTTAGATATATATATATATATATATATATATATATATATATT